CCCGATCATGCTGATTTTCGAACTTGACCTGCGGATTATGAATATTCATCAGTTTTGTAAGTTTCAAGCCAAAAAGTAAAATGGTTTTCCACTTATCGTGTTATCGGTGCTGCATATATGCTGAAAAAAGTGAAAAAACAGCATAACTTCCCTAAAAATGGCCCGATCATGCTGATTTTCGAACTTGACCTGCGTATTAGGAATATTCACCAGTTCTGTAAGTTTCAAGCCAAAAGCAAAAACGGTGTTCCACTTATCGTGTTATCGGTAAAAGTGCACGACGGCGACGACGGCGCCGACAGACGCAGATGATGGCTATATAAAAAAACATTAAAAAGGTGAGCACGTACTTTCACTTTGGGTTCTACTATAGAATCTAATAAATATAAAATATAGGTCATTCCACAGTTTTAGGGTTTAAGATTAAGAGTTATGTCTCCATTTTTCTAGCATTTTGGTAAAAGAAATCCCATCTAAGATTTCCTAGCAAATATAAATTTCCTTGGAAAGAATTTATTTTCTCCTTCCCATTGATCATTGCCCACAAAACAGTTACATTAAACATTACAGAAATATTTTTCTCATTACAAAATATAACTAAAAACATTACAAATGATGTTGGCTCATCAATGTAAGTTTTCTGTGCAGACAAAGAATAACGAAGCTGTAACTACATCAGGGGTTTCTCCTGGGTACATGGAGTCCAAAATGTTAATCTGTAATTTGGTTATCAATTTACAGGGAGTCAAACTTAAGCAAGCCCAAAAAAAAACTAACCCCAAAAAATTCTTTTGAGATATAGACCTTCTTTTGAGGCTAATGAATGTTGTCTATAGACAGGTGAACAGTATTGCATAACAAGCTAACTGTACCTCTCAGATGTCTGGCACCTGGCCAAGGTTTAACTGACAATTCAACTGCATTTATTAACAGCAAGCTGGAAACCTATCAAGCTATAATTTAAGACAACCAAGTTATAAGCCTGTCACCATGTTTAGGTTGTTTATTGTCTAACAACCAAGGTGATTACACAACATAAGCAGTTTGAAAGATGGTCAAATAATGTCATTAGTTTCACTGACATGCCTGTATTGACCCATTTGTCCACAACATATATGGCTGACAGTAGATAGTAAGATGACTAATCTATAATTTGAAACAGAACTCAAACTCAGAATAAAAGTCTGTTAGGGCATATGTACTGTGGGTATATTGAAACAATTCTGATGGATGATGGAAGACAGGGTGGATTCCACACCTGTGTATGATAAACCTACTGTTGGTATAGGCTCAAAGTGTTGGAAGTATAATACATGTAAACCACAGGCAAATATTGCTAAGATAAGATTAAGATTGTTATAGTAGTATTTAGTGCAAAAGCTAAAATATATTGTTATGTGATATATAGTCATTGTAAAAAGGTATTTCAACTGGAAAAAATGTATAATATATTTAACTGGAATTGACAACCCAAACTAGTAGTGTAGTGCTCATGTACTTCCTGTACTGCACTGATTCTGGATGGATGACAAAATACTGAACCATGTCCAGTTAAGTTTGACCAGTTAAAACATTCTTATTCATCAAGAGTTGGATATAACTTGGCAACTCGACAGATATCTTGTGAAAAATCAATCTGTCGCCCTGGTAGAGAGTATTAATTTGCCAACTTGCGACGCGACTTAATTAACTTCGATGGACTCCAACTGAATGCAATCAGCTTAACGGAATAACACATCTCCTCTTGTTTTCAAAATACTCATATTATTACCTGCTTTTGTATATTCTACTCAACACCAGGAGCAGGCATGTTAATCTTTTAATCTGACTGCACTGTATTACTTGTAGGGACCATTCCCACATATATTTGGATCGATCTATCTCCCTGGGGAGTCTCATTAAATTGCTGTCAACTTGACCGGCTTACTATACAGTAAGTGTCTGTCACGCCTAGTAAAGCTGTTAGGGGGTAATTATTTTTACCCCTAGCTGATTCAGTAGGCGAGACAATACAGAAAATCGTTACTATATATACCCCTAGTAACTTGCTGCATATATACTTCACCATTTCGACCAGATCACATAGGCCCATATAATATACATTTAAGCTCGTTAGTTGACAGCAATCTAGTGGGACTCCCCAGGGAGTTAGATGGATCCAGATGGATCGATCTAGGCACGGGAACCCAGTCATAGTAACAGTTGCCACAGTTAAAGGACTAATGTCTAAGAGACCAGATTACACCCATACTTATTTATTTATATACATATTGTATATATTTATTTATCAGAATCATGTTTAAAGCATTTTTGTCCCCCCCCCCCCCCCCCCCCCAATTTCCATGCACTGAAAGCCTTAGGTGCTAGTGCAGATGTGTCGTGCACTTTAATTGCCAAATCTTGGTAACAATGGAAAAGACTTAATTAGTGGACAAAAACTACAGTATAAATGTTTAGTCCACCATTATTTTCATAAGAACACATACTACCGTGGATTCTAGGAACATTTTTCTCAATATTACACTGTTAATTCTCATTTTGATATTTATTACAAGAGAGGGGAGGGGGTTGTCTGGGGGTTGGGTGTCCAAGGGGGGATGTAGGGTGGGGATTATCCCGTGTGGGGGAGGGGTTGTCCTGATACCACTACCGTGTATGTAGGAAGCTAATGAATTAATAATAATGTATAACTGTTAACAGTATTGTTTTTTACACGCGTTATATTCTAATTCACAACAGCATATTTTTAATCTTATCAAAATGGGGTGAGAGTCTTGAGGTGGGAAAAGTAAGAGGAAGGAAGAAAAATTTTTCTAGACTAAATTAAGCATAGTTGTTGCCCAATTCTACAGACGACAGAATTTGGAGGACCCCGTTTTCAATGTCCTTTGACTTACTTCTGATGCTATAAACTGGTCGACCTTGGAAGATTGAGTGCTTGCATTTAAGCATGGAATATCTTCCGTGTCAAAAAAATAATCAAACATTTGAGAAGTGTAATATCCACTTTCTTTCTTTTCGTGTGGTTTCCTTCCATCGCTAGGAACTTCAGCAGTGGCCATGTTATCATTATTGACGACCTTTACCTTGTACACCTATCCTCGCTAAAGCCTCGTTCGAGATCCTTTAAGGTAAAAAGATCTGCACGAGAGCATGTGCCAACGGAGGGTGTAGTGTTGGAGTAGTGTTGCCACTGATTTGGTGCCGCAAATTTAACTACCTGTTGCGATTCATTGTCATCTAATAAGAACGATCAAGTCTTCACGGCCTATTGCGCGATTAAAGGAATACTTGCCGAGCATTTGATTAAAATAAATATAATCCTTTTGCCACATACGGTCTCATACAGCCCTAGCGTTGTAAAACGTACGGCAGTAGTCTCAGACCGCCGTGCGGAAGCCCAAAGTAGCCGCGAAAAAAACCATCTCCAGATAATCGTTTATCTCATTTATTATTTTTTTTGAGCATTTGATTGTCACCTTTATTACTTTATTAATATCACATAAGCCTGCCAGTCATAAAGGTGACAATCAAATGCTTTTATGAAAAATATTTTAAAAGACAGCAACCGTCAAACTCAGCTATACATCGTCTGCTAATCGTCGTCATCCAAGTAAATGATATTTTGTACATGTATAAGTCTTATTATTTGAGCGGAAATGTTTTTTTTAAATTACCAAAGAAGATAGTTTCACGGCGGTTGCATGAACGACGCTCTGAAAATACAGAAAATCGCTACTACAGGGTAGGCCTATATATGCCCCTACCCGTAACTTGCTTCATATATACTTCACCATTTCGACCAGATCACATAGGCCCCTATAATATACAGGTACGTGTCGTCTTAAGAAACTTAGAGCTACGCAATATTCGACTAGGTCATTGTTGAACGTGGACACCAAGGGGAGTATTAATAGACTGTTGACGTGGTATCCATGCCTACACATTTTCTCCAATACCAGCGTTTTTCGCTTATGTGATAGGCCAACGATATTGGCTGAGAATTCAGTTGCTGTTGTTATTGCTACACATCAGTCTTCTTTAGTAAGAATAATCGCATTCATACTCACTTTGCTTTACTAACTGATACATAAAGCATGGCAGACAGCATAGATCAGATAGATCGAATTGTTCTGCAAAAGATTGATAGTGTTTCTATTGAAGAGACAACTGCCAGATATGAAGATCCCTATTTTATTTTATTTCACTTTATTCTAATTTTTACATTTTAAATCACGTAATGGCAGTGACAAACACATCACTTAACCTGTCTCAAGGGAATTCCTACTTAGAGGATGAGGACTTCGACTCAAAGCTTTCCCCGGAGGTGGATCTGATCATTGGTGTGATACTCGTTGTGATCGGTAAGTTGGCGGTTTGATGGCTGGGTTTGATCTACAATCCTCGGACGGGTTTGTATACGTTTCAAACTGGGCACAAAAGTAAGCACTTGTCTAGAATTGAAAATTATTTTATGATTTATGATTCAGTTGAGCGAATCGGAAGTCACCTGATTGAACGTGATTGCAGTACTACTATATCGGCCAACTACCTACATGTTTATATATCGCTTTTTATGGTATGGGTCTTTATGGGTCTTCACGGATGTATAGATAATTGGTTTGTGGACAGAGAGCAGGGGCAGATCCAGGATTTTTCTAGATGTGGGTTTGTTTTTATTGACCCCGCCCCCCCCCCCCTTAAAAAAAGAAAGAATGAAAAAAATCATTTTTGAAAATTAAATACGTGAGCGGAATGAATCAATTAAGCATACATTTATGTATTTAGAAATAATAAAGTCGTTAAATTAACGATGCAAAACAGAAATATTTTTGTAATGTAAGATTTTTGCTCCTTTACTTTGTCGCATAGGCCTACTCGATTGACTGGCCACATCACACGCCATAATCTGGTAGGGTGGTGTCGATAAAGGAACTTTTACAAGACAGTCAAAATGAAAGATGATAGTAAGTCGATGGCATTTAACGTCACAGGGCCCATTCTGGACACTTTTTCTAGAGACCATTCTCACAGATATTTAAATCGATCTATCCCCTTGGGGAGTCTCACTAAATTGCTGTGAATTTGGCCGGCTTAAATGTCTGTCATGCCTAGTAAAGCTGTTAGGGGGTAATTTTCTTCACCCCTAGCTGATTTTGGTAGGCGAGACAGACATGTTGAGCTGATAGCAATTTAGCGTGAACCCCCAGATGGATCGATCTAAATGTATGGGAATGCAGTCTTAGCATGGTTAACAGAGAATTGGTGATTAAACGTGAAATTTAGTTTACTACAAAATAGCATGTTATGTTTAAGTTGGTGTACTTGAAACCATATCGCTCTATCCGTCTTGGAAACGTTTATTTCAATCGTTATTTTCTCAATGCTCTGACAGCCCAATAAGAGAGATATCTCTGTTGGCCTTAGTACTGGTATACATGTATGTACCTAAGTGGTTAGGTAGATATTATGTTTAAAGTTAAAAGTAGTATACAGATTTTTAACAGAATAAGAAGTAGCTAAGGCATAAAAGGTTTACAAATGTGTCAAGCAGAGTTATAAATAATTACCATGAATAAAATAGCGTTAAGCTACAATTGACTTTAAAGTCATTTCAACAGCTTCACTAAACAGAAAAAAAACTAGGGGAGAGACAGGGTTGGGTTTGAGTAAAGTTTTCAAAAAATCACTTTCAAAAATTTCTATTTCTGAACACTATACTTCTGAATGGATCGAATTTTTCTGAACAACTGAGAAAGAACACTCTTTGCTTTCAGTGAAGCTGTACTCATATGCTTCTGATTGGCTGAGCATAATGAGGCCAAGTAGTATTGTCCAATCAGGTTGCAATAATATCTCTTTATCTTTTCTGCCACTTGGTGTTAATTAATACAAAGAGGAGGCATCCTGTCTATAATAAAGGAAAAAAATCTAGAGCTTATCTTTATATGATCCCAGCTCTGTCTCCGTCTCTTACAGCCCACTGACACTCTTTTCTCACGCAAATTCTTTTATTGTGGTCAATAAATTACATTTATGTGTGCATTAATTGAGAGGAGTCTCTTAGACTATCTGGAACTAGTTTATTATCAACATTCGGTTTTATAGCACAACAGAATCATCTACTTGTAGGTTGAAAATGTATTTTTATTGACATTCGTACTTTGATTATTACTCTAAGTACGAATTAAAAATAATGACAGTTAAATATACATCTGTTAATAATAATAATAATAATATTAATTATTTACATATGTATATTAATAATAATAATAATAATAATAATAATAATATTTATTGAGTACTGAAAGTGTACATGGCTTAACATTTGCTGGTTCACTAATCTACGAAGAGTAGTATACCTACGTATGTATACAATAAGGATAATAATGAATAATATAACATGACATACCGTATCGATACCAATCAGCATGTCTTCCCAGTATACAATTGTTACGTTACTTAACACAATTAAGTAATACACTTGTGACATTGTAATACACTTCCAAGGCTGCTGTGACTTGTACAAGGCTCATTTTCTACTTTGGCATAGTTGTATAAATGAACTTTGCAGCAGCCAGCGCGCTTGCAACACATTGTGGATTTAGGATATTAGATATTTTGATTTCATTGGTGTCTGATACCACCATGATAGACCTTGCAATCCACGCCAAGAATGAAACATTCATTTACGATCATTTTTATGTTTCTTATAGTAGGAGATAATGTTTCTCATCCCCAATAATTGATTTGCAATGGGGCAATATCTTTCTTCCATTGATATTTTGGGAGCGATATGTCTTCCCCTTTCAATTTGTAGATTATGGTCACTAAAGCCCCCTTTGCAATGATTATTATCGATAGACTACACAGATGTATTTTCATCAGATAATATCAAATGATATATGAAATGTTTAATTTTGAAATTTTTATGCATAATAAAAATGTTCATCAGTACTTCTTTTTGGCCCTTGATGAAATTATATTCTATGTATAGGCCTATACATTGCATTCTTCGCGTGAAAATTTACCACAAGTGATTTCTATCAAAGATACAGAGTGACTCAGTCTTTTATAAGCTTAGTTATGTGCTATTATGACTAGAATTCAAAACATGCTGCCATGTGTAATTACATTAAAGACACCATAAAATGACGAATTATGCATACGCAAATACGGGATTTACTCATCCCAAATAATAGCCTCGAAACATAGCGGTGATATCGCTACTAGCGCTTGGTCGCAAATTGCGATGCTTTCGAGTTAGGCAATAGCGACGAGAAGTCTTTTTAAGAGTGTATCGTTGTATTCTTCCTTTTTGTTTTTGATTAGTTTTTTTTATACAGGGTTACCACTTAATATGGAATATTATTTTTTATCGAGAAAATGTTCTACAAAATATTTAATTTCTTTCCAACTATTTTAAATCCAAAACTGAGGTGTCACTTTATGTGTAGCCAGGTGTGTTACCTAATTACCATGCAACTTTCGAAACAATTAATGTAAGCAGTTGCATGTTCTGTGGTCAGAAATGTGAGGGGTGGTCTTTTCGGCAATTTCTGCCCTTGTATAAAAGCGCATGGGTTTGGTCAATCTTTGGAGTGTATTTAGAGAAGCAACAAAGTGATCGCTCTGAAACTTGTCAGTTACCTTAGAGAAGATATGGTTCGACAGCTAAGCAACGCAGCTTACTATGGGATTCTTGCTCTCAGAGAAAATGGCTAGAAACGGACAGCCATTGCCAGACAATTCAACATTTTTCAGGAACCGTTAATAAAGTCCTCCAAACAAATGCTACAACAGGG